AGAGTGGGGGTGTGCGGGAAACCTGCGATAGTGTGAGTGTACCGTCCCACACTCACATTAGCGCCCTACACCGGACGTGAACACAGATTTGTATGTCTGTAAATGTGCTAGCTAGACCAAATTGGTAGTTCTATGCGTTATCTATTTACTATTGGTCTCACAATCCGTCATTGTGTGGCGGTTTGCCAGTCCGCCTGTGTACATTATTGTTTGCAAGCCTTGAGGCCTCTAACTTATTTTACAACTTGTCAGCAATCGAATCGCCTATAAAATCGCTAACGAACACAATTCATAGATGAGAATTTTATTACGCAGCATGACAACTGACTATAATTAATTTATTGGCTTGGTCAAGGTTTCGAAGGTAATCCGATGGTATGTTCGAACTAAAAATGAATGGTGTAGGTTTTGAAGCATTTGCTACATTATGGACATACCTACGTCATATATCTATATATATGGAAGTTTTATATCATAGAAGATACCTACCAACCATATAACAATTCAAAAAAAACCTTGCAAGTTACGTTCTCATGGTAGAACGTACTAGAATAACGGAAGGGTCTATCGAAAGCGTAGTTTGAATATGATTCGTTGCAAGGGTAACTACGTAATAAAACTAATAGACCAAAACATTTGGCCTTTGAAACTCGTAAGGACATTCAATTTATGTTATGAAAATATTAAATCCGACGACTTTTTAATTTTATTGACTCGTCGGCCTTAAGAAAGTTTGGGTTTGATTTGTGTACGAAAGCGGAAGTCTTCAAACGATACACCGCACCCATCGATTGTGGAATGATTCCTAGCGATCTGAAGGTAAACCAGTGCGAGGAATTCGGTGAGCCATAAAGGATGAACCCTAAATGAATCGGGGATACGTTGGTGTGCGTGAACATTTGAAAATTGTACATGAACTGCGTGCGTGTAAGTACGAGTATTGCGTGTGCGCCGACTAGCCGATAACAATAAACTATTTCCGAAGTGACCCAGTTCGAACGTCCTTCGGTAATTTGTACCGTGAACGGGAACAAGAAAGGGCTTGGAGTAATTTTGACAGTAACCATACTAAATTTTATTGTTACAAAACGCAAACGTTTCTTTGTCCTGTCGCTGCTCGCTACCAACCGCTTGTTGTTACCGGCCTTTCTATACATGTTTATGACACTTCTAAAATAGCAAGGTCATCTCAACCTTGAGATATTTTTTTTTGTTGAAATCAAAAGTAGCAGCTCCATATTTTCATATAAGGTAGTTAACCTTTTGCAAGATTGTTTAATATAAAATAAAAACAAGAAATATTATTGAAGAAACCGCAGAATCTACTGACGCTTAATTGAATTGGAAGTTATTAAGTGTGTTAATAGCCAGACAGTGAACATCACATAAGTAGCAAGGATGTATTAAAATACGATTAAATAACAATTAAAATTAAGGAAAAGATGTTAATGGCACCTCTCTACTGAAGCCAACGCATCGACATAGTAGATACAACTGTTGAGCTTCTGATAATATTTTTTTAATCCAGTTCAATGTCAAAACACGCAGGACATGAAGCAATCCATTCAATAAACACGGAACACGTTTTAATACTCGGTTTACATATCAAATTTGTATTTCGTAGAAAAATAATGTCGAGTTAGTAAGGAGCAATGCAAATTACAAAACCGTCCTGAGCGTTTAGTTCATGCATTTGGAAATTTAGGAATGTTTGTGTTCCAAAGTTGTAAACCTAGTTTTGCGGAACGTTAACCAACTGTTAAAAGGTATTTAGTAAGAATAATATGTAAAGTGGTTATTTTCGATTGTTCCTAAGGATATACTGTATATGTTAAGTATATATATATATATATAGCAATATAATATAACTATCGATTTTATAGGTATGTATCGCTAAAATATGACCAACTCTAAATTCGTCTTATGCAGGTAGTATGTTTAAATGCTTACTTAAGAAGCTACTTTTGTTTTTAATTAACTTCTTAGGGTCTGTTTGTCAAGAAATTTAGAATATATTTTGTAGCAGTATCCTTAAATCGGATACAATTGTTAATGTATTTGAAATTCTATACATAAACATAATAATATTGCATTATGATATCCGACTTCTATGCACAATTTTAGCTCGATCAAATGCCAGCAAGCGATTGCAAAATGGATTACACATGAATAGGAATGATGGACGGAAAGACATACATAACATGTAAGTAGAAGAAATATAAATTATTGCAATTTGATTGTTATGTTTCTATCCGTTTTTTTGAAGTGACAATAAAAAATCTCCGTAAAATCCAAGCTTAAACGAAATATAACATTCCGTGTTATCGTATAATATAATTGATATTCTAATAAGTGCCTTTACTAAATTTCTGTCTACTTTAAAAAGTACTTTACTATTTTGGTTTAATAGGTTTCTACAAATGTGAAATAGCGCTTTTATACAACAATATTTTTTACGTATATATTTTTTAATGTGTAATACATTATGCTTTGATTCAAAATAAACTGCTAGTATAAGCTACAAATAGTAGAGAAACAAAGGAATGTATTTAATTAATAATTAGGAATTAATCAAGTTGTTTGAACAGAATAGGGGAGAACTAGTTCCGTACCACGTGTAAGTGATAATAATGGTAAATACGCAACTAAAAATGACACAGTTTGTTTTGTCTATGCGAATTAGAATATTAGTTCTGCGTTATTAGTGCGCGTTAGATTAGGGAAGCAAATAAATAAATAAACAGTTCAGTGCAACGTTCTTAGATAGATGTTAATACTACTTTGGCAATATTTATTATCACTAAAATGGAGTGTTTTAGGTATACTAGACAGATTTAGAGAGATTTACTAGAAATATTTTATTATTATATTTATTTGGAATTTGAAGCAAGCCATAAAAATGTGTATTATTAGATAGTGACGTTGTTCAGCCAATAATAATTCTGAGACTATAGTATATATAATTTATATTTATTGATAATACACACTTACATTTTCAATTTGACTACACTTAGTTCTAGATTTGTATATAGATATAAAATTTTATTAGAGTATGATTATCCGCGGGAATTACTACAGAGTTAATTATTCAATGGTAATTTAGAAAATTCTTCAATCTATTTGAATAATACAGTGTTTCATAGTCATATAATATTATTATTTAGTTCTGTGTAAATTACAAAAATAAATTATATTAAGTACTACGTATTTTTCCACTTAAATTTCACTAATAGTTATTACAGAAGTACTGAAGCATACTACATATACCACAAGCAACAAATTGAAATTGAAAATTGAAATTGAATCTAATCAAAAAAATTTGCGGGATTATTATGGATGCCGAATGTATCCTCAATTTAGGATATATTCTATTTATTTACATAATCCGTTGACTGAGTAATAAACATCGATGAAACATTTTATAAACTTTTACATTTATAACATCTATAAAATTTGGCCTCATTTAAAACAGAACGTTGTAAGGAAAATTAGCAGCATGGCTTTTAGCTTACAAGACAAATAAGAAATAATACTTATTGGATTAGATAGTGAAGTGAAGTTTTAACTGAAAAGATAATAAAGGACAGATAAAGTAGACACCGGTTTATTTTTATCAATAGTTAAAAAATCAAAATCTTATCTCAAGAGTTTATATTCCATCGTAAACACATTTGGAGTTGTTAATCAACAGCGGTCGTCTAGTATATTCTTTCGTACAAAAACATAATAAATATTATTCACGTATAAAAGTGCTGTTTCATTTCCCCGTACGTAACTTGCACAATGACGGCAATAAAATCAGTAACGATTTTATTTTCATATCAATAACATCAATTATTGATATTATATTATTTTAAATCGTGTTCAATTACTAATCAATTATTTCTGCATCTTTTATCGTGTAATTGTGCATAATTGTACTGATTAAATTAATTATCATATTCATAAATAGTAGCGTGGTTGTAATGATTATTTTAAAAACTTTGGTCTGGTGTAGTGCCCTTTAATTTATTCTTACTCGTGCCAATACTGGCGCTTCATTGACACAATTATCTGTTATTATATTTCGAGATAGTATATAGTAGGCATATCCAACGAACTGACATTGCTTAGTAAATATTTTATATTAGTTGTATCACACAGTTTCACCTGCGGTAATAAAATCTTATTTATTTCCACAATTATGTGTCGATTTAAGATGTTCTCTATCTGTAATATCATTGAAATCTATACAGAATGATTGAGTGTATTTATATAACGTTATATTATTATTTATATTATCGGATTTATTAAAGAATTAACTAGATTTCATTTTTTTAACTTGTCTAGTTAGTTGTATTTTTAGGAACTACGCGTCTTATTAGATACTGCTCAATTTTCTAACATTTGTAATTAACATAATGTGGGATACATACAGAAGTTAGGATATTTAAAAAACATTTCGTTTTATTTATTTCGAACTTCAATATTACCGTTGTGAATAAAATAATAAACTCTGTAAATTTCGAAATTGTATTTCTCGAGGAAGCCTATTTTCATAATTTCTGATAACAATTTATTTAAGGGCGGCTATTAGTAATTTGATAATAATACAAAGAGGTTTTAGAAATAATCAGGTACAACCGTATCGATTATTACAAATATTAAATATAATTATATTGTACGTGGTTATAGACCAATATGAAAATTATTAATTCAGTGTTTATATTTTGGTTAGAATGCGCGCGAAACGAAGCATGGAAAAGCGGCGCGGGCGCAGTTCATACGCTGAGCATAGTCGATTTCGCAAACTACCATCTAATGTGAACCTATTAACCTCTTCGTCGAGCGAGGCCCAGAGGCGAAGGCGAGAGGCGGATGAAACGCGAATAGTGCGTTCATTAGACACAAGGTTGTGCCGACCATCCCACCGGACTTACTTAAGGTATAACGTGCCACCCACGCTGATTTTGTGTCCATCCCTACAACTAACAAAGTCAATAGTAAACAAACAGCCTTACCTTGCCAATTGTAGTGCACTTCTATTAGCAATCTCATTGTAAAAATTTAGAAAGATATTGCTGTCGAACATATTAGCACTATATCACAGCCATGTTGCGCACAAAAATATAATACAAAAACAAACAATCCGAAGCACCAGCGATCACAGGATAATCACAACGTCCGATCCTAGGCACGTCTGTGCGCGAGCGACGTTAAATGAAACTGGCCCGGTCAAAATGACGAAAGTGAAAACATCGCACGCACAGAAAAAAAGGTTGGCGGCGCGCTACAGTCCTTGCAGGCCACCTCTCGCGTCGGTCGGCTCTAGTGACACACTAACGCGAGGCGCGCGCATCGCCGTTGCCTATATAATGAAACGTTCAGAGCCTCAAACTTCAAATGCTCGTGGACGGACGCTACAAAAAGAAGATGCCATAACAGTAGCTAGGAAAGATTGAACACAAAGAATACAGACACGTGGAGACGTGTGTGTGCACGTGCGATTGTCGGTGTGAGCTGAGAGATAGGCGGTCACAGGAAACTCCGTTCTCTTCCACAAGGAAAGACCTTGGATATGAATCGGCACGTTGCAATGTGTACCGCCATCGCCTACGCTGCTGTTACCTACTTGGCGGTTCCAACAGTTTATACGATGGTTTCATATAAAATGTTTATTCTCAATCGTCACGATTCTCTGCTAAAGTATTGTTAGCTATCAAATACGGTGTACTCATTGGTTTAAGATATACATTGGCCTAGTCAAGAGTTAATGAGCGAAACAGACAGCTTTATTGTTAAAACAAGCAGTGGCTGCACGGACAAACATTGTAATTACTGTGACGATGATGCAACGAAAGTTGATAATGATATTAGCAATTTGACACGTATTTAGCGTGGGTGGTTGGTGAGAAATGGAAATTGTTGCGCAATTTCTGCTGCTGAAGCAGTTTAAGATAATGTTGGAAACTAGGTCATTAGTGGGTACTATAATGATCTATTTCTTCATCGACGTAGTACGCATGTTGTTATAAGTGCCTAATGAGATTTAACATTATTACATATTAGGTTGAATATTTAAAAAAAAATTACTTTGTATAAGTCAAAATGTGCTGATTTAGTCATCATTAAGTAAATATTTCATAACATTAACCACCTAATAATATTGGTCTAATGACCGGCAAAAATATTTGTTTAATTAAAACAAAAAATTATAAATAACTTAAAAACATATTGCTCGAATAAAAATAAAATACATTCATAATAAAAATAGAACATAAAAGAAATCGGTTACATAGTAAAATAACATTTAACTCGCTAGCGCGACTCGTTCCGTTTCCATAATGTAATAGCATTTCACTTTCATTTCCTTAATCTCATTGTCTAATGAATGCTCGGGTTGGATAACTTGCGAATTTCATCCAAAGATGTTATACGCATTACGTAAATTTAACAGATCAGCTGCTGTGAGAATCGTTTTAATTGCATCTCTGACTCTTAATTTAATTTCGTGTTTGTTATTGAAACTTTATTTTGTAAAGTGAGAGGTTCCCACATTTTGTTCATCTAACCTTTACTGAGTATCTTGCGTATAGTGAATCGTTTCGAAAAAAATATTGAAGGAACTTTCAAAACATGGATGGAAACATTGTGTAGTTTAAAATATTTAGAAAAAAACATATTCTTTATAAGTCTTTTGTATAAAGCTGTATTTATATATCAATGAGGGTAGTTCTATTTTATGATATATTATTTTAATTTTTTCATGAATAATATAGACTTTATGAATTTGTATAATTGTCACAAAAATTAGACTCAGCAGTGGTCATATCACATTCAAATTAATATGCGTGATGTGTTCAAAATTAATAACTATTATATTACGACGCTGTTAGGCGGCATATTATTAGACAAATTTATGTGTGAGGTATATAAAAAGAAACAATTATAACTGAGTTGTCTTTCCTGATTACGTCACATAGAAAAATAATCTTTGTCTGTTTTGTGTTTATTATTACTATCATTAAGTGCACATTTAAATTGCCAAATTGAATTTTCAGGGAACTCCATGCTCGCAAACATTAAAATTCCACTCTACTGACATACCTACTATTTGTTTTGTTTATACATGTATATAACAAAGGAAGAATCAAGAAATTGCTTATATATGATACACTGCTATTTACATTATACAGATGGTGTCATAGAGCAAGACTGTTTGATACCGACGCATTTTCGCATGTATTGCAAAACAATAGACTATTCAGTGCTAAATGTCTATCAACTAGTACGCAGCGCTATTTAACATTAGATACTGACTGTATGAAAGTACCTAAAGGAATGACACATTTTATTGTTCTTAAATTAAAACTTTAAAAAGCCTTGATATAGTTACACTTAAATGAGTATAAATGAGAGTTCAGTTCCAACAAGTACCACAGATCTCATACTTTAAAATGAAATTTAATTAAATATCACGTCTATAACGGAGATTTATATAGTTTGATTAATAAAAATTAAAATGTTAGTAATGTATCTAATTTTTATGCTATTTTTTTCCGTTCTAAAAGCCGCAATATTTACTATCATGCTTTATTTTTTATAATCTGCTCTTAATTGAATATTTAACGTCTCGGACTGTTGTGCAATCTGCACTCTGATCTAAGTACTTGATAGACAGGATCTATTTTAATGCGATAGCTATCTATTTTTTCCGCATACTTTGCCAATCAAGTCAGGCGATAATAAATTTTTTACACAGATTAATCAACCTATTAAATTTAATAATAAAAACATTACATATTAATAGTATCAATAACTAATAACACAAAATCACGTTTTTACCAAATAAGGAATTTTTGTATTATTATTAGTATAATTACTACTGTTCTTCCACAGATTAATGATAGTCCAATTAACTTTATTTAGCATAGTTGTTAGTCATTAGTATTTACAGTTCTGAAAAAAATATACACGTCAGGTTTGACGACATGATATGAAATGTCTGATAAAATGTGACTAATTTAATGAACTGTATTAAAATAGGTCTTGGTATATGGAAAGGTTTTTTTAGTAAAAGCATGTGTGTTTTGCACGGGCGTGTTTTGTAGAAAGCAATGTTACAACTTCAACTCAGGCAAATTTAATTTTGGTTAGAATTTTCAGCAGCCAAGCCTCATTGTCTTCCTAACTATGCTTCTTCTAGTCATTTAGTTACTAAGTACTGTTGAAGAGTTTTACACTGTCAATAACGATTCAAGGTCTAACTATCTATTACATTGTAACATTTGATAGAAATTGTACGGAAATTGTAGAGTGTCAAATTTTTATTCTCATATTTTATCTCTAAGACTGATGATGGAAACCATGACGACAGAAATCGAATGTAAGGAAAAGAACAAAAATGAATAGTTTAAAGTAACTAAAATATTTTGCAATTAATCGTAATATTGATTACTGTAATTATTTAATCCCTGTATTATTTTAGGGCAATATACATTAATGACTAATATTCTGGATGTATTTAAAATATAAATACAATATTATAACATAAATTAATTAACGTGCAGGTGTCGAATTTGGAAATTTTAAAATGTCTGTCATGTAATATATTTAGCATAATAACATAAAAACAAAGACCCTGTCTAATAACTTAATAATCGATGTGCAATAATACTAGGTACTTAATACAGAATCTTAGAATATTTCACTTAGTTATGTGTATTTTCTTTGGAACAAGCTTTCTTTTTGCCACTCTCCGCAATGAGTGATAGTCTTATAAATCTTATAAATATTTATACGACATAACCCAGGTGTTCAGTTCGATTTTCTCCAAAAAAATACTTCGTATCCATTCATCTACGAAACAAGAGTGAAGTCACCGATATTGTTCGCTGTACTTACATAAACTTTCGCCTTAACATTTCTTCGAGTGAAAGTTCTTAACGTATGCATTGTACTTTTGTCACTGGCTAATCGCTATCTTTATCATAAATCTTTGTCCTGACATTTAGCGACACACCCACTAACTTCGTAATGAAAGTTTCAAACTGCAGATACTTGTGTAATCGCATGATGGATGTCTGTTATCTTGATAAAACTTTGACTTGTGCAAAGATAAAGAGACGGAAAAAAGTACAGGTTGATTTCACATGTTGAAATGTGGGTGTATGTGGCAATCTTCTTTGTATTATTTAGACTGTCTCTCATTATTTATATATTAAACCCCAATTTCAGATATTTAGAGGCTTTAGACAAAAATAGAGTGTATCATACTTTAATAAAGGGCAGAATTGATTTCAATACAGATTTTATTACATAAAAACTAATTAATGAGAGATTATGTTTAAAAGGGATGGTTTAAATTATTTGTAAAACTATGAACGTTAGGAAAGATGTTGTTTTTAAATCGTTACTTATTATTTCTTATATAAATTTATATCTATATGTTAGGATTGTGAAGGACTATACTATTCGTAGACCTTTTTATTGTGTAGATTGTTTTTAATAAACGTCTGTAATGGATATTTTTATTGAGATTGCTTCAATTTACGAATCAAAACGCTGGATTGGTCTAATAAAATTCTTTAGTTGGCAACAATTATATCATCGATACGATATCGTGTGCTATTTTGATTTGTTTCGGCTATCTTAATTACGCATATTAATGCTATTGCTCGCGTGAAAGTGTTTTTCGAGCGAGCAATTGAAACACGGCGTTATGCATCCGCATCTACCGTCATTGGATCCGTCACGATCGACCGTGGCTGCCATTTATTAATAATAAACGAAAATTCGTTATTTAACTAGCCTTGGGCCATGTTCCTTTCAGTTGTACTTAATGATGACAGTTGCTTGAAACGTGCTGCTTGTAATGGCTTCAACTCAATGACCGTATAGCTGTGGTCACGGAGTCTGCAAGGTTTCCAAGTAAAGTTGTGAACGGCTCGACAATGAAACAGTTTAGGGCGTTAATGTCAACTATAACATTTTATTATGACATGGAATCAGTACATAATAGAAATCATAATTTGAACAATACGATTTCATCATCCCAACGAAATTTCTTATCGAATGGATATCTATCAAATAACTTTCGAAAGAAAATTCGACATGCCGAAGGTTTTGTAACAGTCATTGAAAGCGCGGCTCGGTGAGTGAGCCTCGATGCAGACGTCGAAAGTGAGACCGAGAGGTTGCGCAGGCGTTACGAAGTTTTTATTGTCGGCCGCGCGCGAAATCACTTGAAAGTTGTATTGTCCTTGGATATTTCACTTCTTTATTTATTGCGTTTCCGACACTCGAGCCGAAGTTCTCTCGCCGGTGACGGCAATTTTACTC